GGTGAGGTCCTATTAAATCAATTTAACAGAATCAATTTAGATGGTAGTGAAGGGAACCGGGTATATTGGAGGATGGAGGTGCAGATGTACATCTGAATTCCTTCCTTCCAACAGCCCTCGCCGTGCCGTGCATCGCTCCGGCTGTGCCTGCCGGGCCCTGCGTAGCCGCAGCCTGTCCCAGCAAGGCGCGCACCTTTCCTGCTGGAGTTTAGGCATTCCGCGGTGATGAAGTTGTGCGAGGGGTGGGCAAAGCAGAAAGCAAGCGGGAGACTTCCTTACAACTCTTGCTTTCCAATTTCATCTTCTTACGTGCTATTACTTAACTGAACAATTCTAATTTTTTTTTTTTAAACCTTGCGGCAAACCCCACTTTGTCTCTCATATTTCTCTGTGAAGACTCATCTCCCAGACCTTATTTCTGCAGGAAGTTAATCTTCGTTCACACAGTCTTCCTGGCTCAGGGTTTCTTTCTTTCTGCTAGGCTTTATTCACCTCTAGCTGTTCGCTAGTTTTTCCAGGGTGCCAGTCTTTGCAGCGTTGCAGTTTCTATCCAGATATTGCCAGGAACAAACGGTTTGATGAAGCTTATGGCTAATCAGTAAAACACACCAGTTCATGGGATGTCTGGTCACTTTTTCATGAACAGTTACTGAAGAGAAAATCATGTGTCATTCCTCTATGGTAGCACAACCATCCCAGAGATGTGAACAGGAGGCTCGAGATACTGAAACTGAGTTTTGGCCAGAACGCAGAATGTGCACAGGTACAAAGACAGCTTCAGTCTTTATGGTAGCAGGTTTTAAGAAGCGTATGTAGGAAAATACTGCACAGAAAAAAAATAAATCAATAAAGCAGCTTGCACGTGTGGAAAAGACGCAAACCCCCTTTAGATGTTCAAGTTTCATTTTAAAAGTGGCTTATTTCAGTTTAAAAAAAATCTGTTCCTAATCAACTTTAGTAAACCAAAATAAAACTAGTTTTTAGGACATCAAGGTCTGAAGAAGTATAAATGCTTTGGCTAAGCTGGTGCAGCTTTCCTCTGTGAATAATCCTTTAAAAGTTAAATTTTCCATGGCTCTGTAGGGCATATGGATGCCCAGTTCTCATTACAATTAAAGGGAAATATTTGTCCAGAATCTTTTGAGGCAGTTACAAGAATCTCTGCTAAAGGTTTTTGATCCAAAA